AAAAAAAAAACGATGTCCAAGGCCGCAGTGCAGCGAAGTGACTGAGGCCATTGTTTCTGTTGTACCGAGAAAAATAAGTGATTGAGCCCATCTGACAGTGAAGAGGTTGAGTTGATCAAGGTTTGGAAAAAAATTATAGGTGAAAAATTTGGGAGGAAATGAGAGGATATGTGACCGTTGGATGAAATAATTTGTGACTGTTGGATTTGTTTGTTGAAGTCGCTCTGTTTTATATTATAGATGGATGAACTGCAAATTCAGATATTATGAATTTAAATTTTAATAATCTTTTGAGATCAGACTATAATAAATTTTTCTCTTATGAATATCTTAATTCTAGCATAGATGACTTACATTTGACTGAGTCAGAGAGAAAATTAATCAAAATACGTGTATGCTAGTTCAAACATCTTTAACTATTGAACCAAAAATATATATTAGTAATTATAATATCATGTACAATGAGATCAATGCTAAACCTTAATGTCGAATCACAATTAACTCAATATCTATCATAAACCGTGGACTTTACTAACCCAAGTCAATATCAAGCTCAATGACGATTGTTTCAAGGATAATGTACAATTGTAATTGTAATTGCCATTAACATTAATTTATTTGCTGCTGATGAATGATGATGATGCCCACCAGTTGGACTTGGACCTCTTGGTGGCCGCCGTACTCTTCCAGCCCCGTTTACTACGCCCATTGGTAGAAACTAGAGCTGAGTCCGATTACTTTTCTAAGATTTTAATATCATATAGTGTCAGTATTTTCTATTTTGATCCCTTATTTAAGGGCAATTTTTTAATACATATATACATATCACCTGGTATTACCACATGGTGTGTGACAAAATCCATCTCCAATCGTCCNTATTTTGATCCCTTATTTAAGGGCAATTTTTTAATACATATATACATATCACCTGGTATTACCACATGGTGTGTGACAAAATCCATCTCCAATCGTCCTTCCCAAGGCTGAATCCGTGAGCTAGCACTAGCATGAAGTGTGACTATTACTAGGGGTGTCAAACGTGTCGGGTTAAACAAGTAATAAGTGTAAATAATATAAATTCATACATGACACATTTAATAAACGAGTAAAAAATCTCAATACGAACACGACNAATCGTCCTTCCCAAGGCTGAATCCGTGAGCTAGCACTAGCATGAAGTGTGACTATTACTAGGTGTCAAACGTGTCGGGTTAAACAAGTAATAAGTGTAAATAATATAAATTCATACATGACACGTTTAATAAACGAGTAAAAAATCTCAATACGAACACGACCGTTTAATAAACGGGTAACACGACACGACTCGTTTAACCCGATTAATTTTTAAAAAATTATATTAACAAATTTTAATACTCTACTTTTTTTTATTGTCAATTACACTTACCTCAAAAAAGAAAAAATTTTAGTCAAATTTCATAAAAATAAGACTTGAAGGCTTAAAAAAAAAGCAAGAGGCCATTACTTTTTATAGGCAACTCAACCCTCTTTATCTCTCTTCATTTTCTAATGTAGGATAAAAACAAAAGACATTGGTTTATCTTTGTCTTTAAAATGCTCCTCATGTTCTCTCTTTTGTCTTTAAACTACTACTTTANAATAAGACTTGAAGGCTTAAAAAAAAAGCAAGAGGCCATTACTTTTTATAGGCAACTTAACCCTCTTTATCTCTCTTCATTTTCTAATGTAGGATAAAAACAAAAGACATTGGTTTGTCTTTGTCTTTGAAGTGCTCCTCATGTTCTCTCTTTTGTCTTTAAACTACTATTTTTTTTTTTTTTTATTGATTTCTTTACTTTTTTGCTAATTTTTTAAAATGATTATTATATTAATTTTATTTAAACGGGTAAACGTGTGATAAACGGTTTGACAGGTTTCACCAAAACACGACTCGTTTATTAAATGTGTTTGGCGTGTCAATCCGTTTATCATCCAAACCCATTAAGATCTCACCTAAATCCGTTTAATTCGCGTCGATTTTTTTAGNTTGCTAATTTTTTAAAATGATTATTATATTAATTTTATTTAAACGGGTAAACGTGTGGTAAACGGTTTGACAGGTTTCACCAAAACACGACCCGTTTATTAAATGTGTTTGGCGTGCCAATCCGTTTATCATCCAAACCCATTAAGATCTCACCTAAATCCGTTTAATTCGCGTCGATTTTTTTAGCTTTTTTGGCTTTTGATGTAAAAATAACAAAATAATTACATGTATGTATGAATTATGCATAATAGTTCATAAAATATAAATTTTAAATTTTTTTATATCCCTAATAATATTTTATAAATATAATAAACTAAAAAGTTAGGCGAAACCCGTAACAAAGTTCTAAAAAATTGGAAGAAAATCTCATAAAATCAGTTTCTTAAATCAATTTAAATAAGTTTTTTAGATCCAAAAAGCTAATACATAAGTTGGTAAAAAAATTAATGTCGAAACGGACCTGACTTATTTTACTTCAAAACCATAAAAAATTACCTATTTAAACTAACTTTAAATATGGCCAATATTGAGTGCAAAAAGACAAACGGGCTCGTAGAAAACCATTTTTAGCTTAGTACCCTTTTTTTCATTTTAAGTTATGAATTTTTTGAGATAAATTACAATTTTTTGGGTTAATTTACAGTTAAATAGGGTTAAGCGCNTTTTAGATCCAAAAAGCTAATACATAAGTTGGTAAAAAAATTAATGTCGAAACGGACATGACTTATTTTACTTCAAAATCATAAAAAATTACCTATTTAAGCTAACTTTAAATATGGCCAATATTGAGTGCAAAAAGACAAACGGGCTCGTAGAAAACCGTTTTTAGCTTAGTACCCTTTTTTTCATTTAAAGTTATGAATTTTTTGAGATAAATTACAATTTTTTGGGTTAATTTACAGTTAAATAGGGTTAAGCGTGTCAAAAATAAAATAATAATTGATCTTAAATTTTTAAGATCGATTCAAAATACTCCATTTTGTTATAGCTTAATCCCAAAAAAGTATAAAACAACTAAAAAAAAAAGTTATAAAATTTGATGCTCAAGTGTTACCATACAGTTTCTAGTTATACAAGAGAAACAAAACAGTTATGGTGTCCTCCACCAAATAAAACAAGCAAATTTAAAAAAAGAAAAGAATCAAGCATGCTTCGGATCAAGCCAATTGATTCCAGTGGGTAAATCAAAAATCCAAATCCAAATCCAAATCCAAATAGTAGCATCCCCACAGACTTTTTGAGTTTGTGCACCTGTGGATGATAAAACTATACACCACCAGACCCTCAAACGTATCAAACTTTTTTTTTTATTGCTTTTCTGTGGACTGCATAAACAAGCAAACGCAAAATCCGCGGAAGAAAACAACATGATAAAAAACGTGGTATTGCCAATGCTATGTCCTACCATAAAGTCTCTTTCTCTTTAACCCCAATATCCCTCAACCTTCTAGAAGACTGCCAAACAATTTAACAATCGACATTCTCACAATGGAATGGACCACCCACTATTTATATCTATAAAAGCAAAAAAAAAATACATTCTTCTTTCTGTAATTTATCTATCTACCCTTCTTTTCTTTCTTAACAAGTTGTGCTGTGATATATGTTGTATATCCAGTCATGGAGCTCATTCCCCATCTTCCAAACGACGTTGGTCTCGATTGTTTGATTCGAGTCCCCTATAAACACTTTCCTTCCATTGCATCGGTATGTTAGAGCTGGAAGGTAGAGATGGAGTTGCCAGAATTTAGACAGTGCCGAAAGGTCGCCGATGTAAACCAACGAGTCATTGTGATGGCACAAGCACGGGTTGACTCTACCCACAATCATGCATTCATGAAGTATATGACTATACCCGTTTATCGACTCACGGTTTATGAGGAGAAAACGGGTGGTTGGAGTGAGCTGCCACCAGTGCCCGGGTTCTCCGATGGGTTGCCGATGTTTTGCCACCTTGCTGCATTGGGGTTGAACCTGGTGGTGATTGGAGGGTGGAATCCAGTGACTTGGGAGGTTTCAAATGCTGTGTTCATTTACAATTTTCTTTCCGCCAAGTGGCGTCGTGGGACCGATATGCCAGGTGGTCATAGATCGTTTTATGCTTGTGCGTCTAATTCTGATCGAACGGTGTTCATTGCTGGTGGACATGACTACAATAAGAATGCATTAAGATCTGTGATGATGTATGACGTGACAAAAGATGAGTGGGTCCAACTACCTGATATGGCAAGGGAGCGAGATGAGTGCAAGGGGGTGTTCCACTGTGGCAAGTTCCATGTCGTTGGTGGGTACCCCACAGAGATGCAAGGTTGCTTTGAAAGAAGTGCCGAAGCTTTTGATGTTGCCACATGGCAGTGGGACCAAGTCCAAGATGATTTCTTGGAAACTGCCACGTGTCCATTGACTTGCACAGATGGTGGAGATGAAAGACTCTTTATGTGCCGAGCTGGTGATGTGTCGGTGCTACAAAGTTCCACATGGCAAGTTGTAGCTGAACTTCCAACTGAGGTACAACGTATCACCTTCGTGACAGCATGGCCGGACAAGATGTTAGTGATTGGCTGTACAAGATTCGACGAGTCCCACAGAGTCTACGTAATGGGTTTGAAAAATCATAAGTGGACAAAACTGGAGGCACCGGAGGAGTACTCCGGCCATGTTCAGTCGGCCAGTTGCTTAGAGATATAAAGATTAAAGCGTTTGTATTACTTGGCATAATTGTGTAGTGAATGCATTGAGAATACACCTTAATCCATCGGTAGAACATTTCATTAGGGCGGCCTGACAAATATGGAGTCTTAGGCAAAAATAATCAGTGAGTGAATGCATACAATATAATAATATAAATGCAACTAAATAAATATTAAAATATTACTATATATTAATATTTGGGTAAATTTTAATTGACACCTTTTGAAAAATAACCTAACTATATAAGAACATTCTCAATGATTTCTCAAATCTTATTCTCATCTCCTATAATTTAAATGTTCATTTCACATACAACCCCTGCCTTTAGGGACAAAATGACATATCCAAAAAATGATGATATCAGCAAATACAATGACAATTTTACTCTTTAACTATATATAAGCCTTGCAGTTAAATACTTGTATTCTTTTTTCCAAGCAAAGCTAAGCTTTAAACCAAACAACCCACGTGTCTTTTAATTTCATCTTCTACATATTAGACACACTAATTCTCTTTCTCTCTCTCTCTTTCTCACACAAACACACACCCACAAAAATACATTCATCCAATTTGTAAGCTTGGAAAAATTTTAGCCTTCACTATTTGTCACAATCCAAACTTCACCAATGTCAATTTGATATTGAAATGATAAAGTTAAAATATTAAAAGAGTATTAAATTGATAAAATTAATCTTAATTCCAACGACCCAACGATCCTCCATGGTCACCTCCTAGCCATATCAACCAAAACTCTAAAATATGTGTAATTCACTTTCTTTCTCTCTCTCTCTCTCTCTCTCTCTCTCTGTGTGTGTCCTAACCATGATTTGCCACCACCCAACAGGTATACCATCGAGCCCATCCCCACCATAGAAACACAGATAGAGGTATACCCCACAATCAAAAAAGAAATCCCATTCTCGTCAGAGTCTATCAACCAACAATATCAAAAAGAATTCGGAGATATAAATTTTTTGTTAAATGAAAAAATAAAATATGAAATCCCTAACACAATTGGGATTTAATATGGAGCCATTCAGAGCTGAATGATNAATTGGGATTTAATATGGAGCCATTCAGAGTTGAATGAAACCAAAGTTTTATGTTCAGTTTTGATTTAGAGAGACTTTAAAAATGATGAATTCATGTTGACTATAACTTCTAGCCTTCTATGCTAACGATGTGAGTTTGATTCTGACTACTCTCTTTATATCCTCTGTATTATATATACCTTGAGATAGTGTGTAATTGAGGCCACAAAGGCAAACTTGCGGAGTAATTCTTCTACGGGTAGTTATCAAACGTGAGATTGATTGATAGATTAAGATGATCTTACGAGATTTTTCACTTAATCATTCAAATTTTTTGATATTTGAAAATATTATATATAGTCTCTTTGAGATTTATACACGCATTAACACTTAAACCCTGCCGTCAAACTCTATTAGTAAATTATATTAAGATATCTTGAAGTTTGTAAGTGTGTAATACTTAGACCCTTTAAGTTTAAATTATTATAGTTAGACAAAAAATATTCTAATCAAAGATAGAATATCTAATATTTTAAATTTTACAACTAAAGTTCATGTTCTATTATATCATTTATTGATATAAAATCAAAAATAAAAATATATTTTTTAAAAAAAATCATAATTAATATATAATTATACTATCTTAAAACCCTCTCTAGATTTCGCAATCATCTTAACCACATTATTCTATTGATGGTACAAGAGTACTGATGGCACCATGGCGGATTGAATAGTAGAGTCGAAAAAGCATGGGCTTTAGGCCCCAACACAAAAAGCCCCAAATTTTAAAGTTCAATGATTAAGTATATATCAAAGATTAAAACCCATTATAATTTAGCTTAACAAAAAAAATTTATGAAAGATTAAGTCAACAAAAAAAAATTTAGAATTTAGGTCTAAAAGTGCAATCCACCTTACACATATACATTTATTAATGCACNATTATAATTTAGCTTAACAAAAAAAATTTATGAAAGATTAAGTCAACAAAAAAAAATTTAGAATTTAGGTCTAAAAGTGCAATCCACCTTACACATATACATTTATTAATGCACAAAAAAATGGTTAACACTTTAATAACAATTAAATAAATCAAACACATTTTATATTTCTCTCAAACTCGATTTTGTTCTCATTTAAACATAAAAATACCAACTAATTAAATTGTTCATTCTCATAAAGGATCCACAATAAAAACTAATTTAATATAAAAAAAGACTTTCAATAAAGTAGTTATCAAAGAAAATAAATACAACAAAATAGTAGGTGAACATTATATATATAAACAAGTTATGGATCATANTTTCAATAAAGTAGTTATCAAAGAAAATAAATACAACAAAATAGTAGGTGAACATTACATATATAAACAAGTTATGGATCATAAAAAAATTAAAAAATTAAAAAATAATTCAATAACAAGATAACAAAAAATTATGAATACATATTGATAGTCAATAATCTAATACCACAATTTTTACAAAGAACATACAAAACAAATAAGAAGAATATAACAATAATAATGAAATTATATATTATGTTCTGAAAAGTGCGATTTAAGCAAGAGATGAAAGAGATAAACAGATGTGCAAATCTGTTTGCTAAAAAATGTGTACTTAGCCATGATGATCTATAAATATTTATAATTCATATTTATTTTACTATTGAACAGTTGTACTCAGATAGTACGAGTAAGAAATAATATATATGTAATGTTTATTATATATTAAATGCCTAAATTATTAAAAGAAAAAATTATGCGACACCACGTTGTAACATTAAACATATTTTGCAATGGTCCACGCATTATTTTTGACAAATTAATAAATGTATAAAATATGAAGTACNTATATGTAATGTTTATTATATATTAAATGCCTAAATTATTAAAAGAAAAAATTATGCAACACCACGTTGTAACATTAAACATATTTTGTAATGGTCCACGCATTATTTTTGACAAATTAATAAATGTATAAAATATGAAGTACCACATATATTACCTTTAATCTTGACGTGTCATCCATTAATTAATTTGTCTCACTTAATCGATTCTATAGACGAAGACTCGATAATGAGGCACAAACAAAGACTACAATTATTATGAGATGCACAAACACTTCGATCATTTGAATGGGAGAAGGCATAGCAGGCCCGACCATTAAAATAGTCTTCAACAACCTTAATTTAATTTTCAGTCCTTAGTTCAGCTTCATGTTCTGAAACTTTTTTGAATAGACTAAGTTAAAAGCCCAATATATTTTAAAAATCTATCAAAAACTTTATAGAAAGTCCTAAAATGTAACAATATTTTCCTAGGTCTCTTATATATATAAAGTCCTAAAATATAACAAAACCTTCTAAAAAAAATCTAAAAGTAACAATTTCTAACTTTAAAAATAGTAATCTCTCTCAAATTTATTTTCACTATTTTTTCCTCCACTCTCACCATCTCTTTCCAACTTTGTCTTTCCCTCACTGTCATTGTCTTGCTCTAGTTCTTTGTTCTCATCTCTAACTCTCTTGTTGTCTTTTAAGACTTCATTCAATTTATTAATCTATAAGATCTTGACATCACAATTGCACCTAATGTATTATATGATTCGGTCTAAATACAAATCAGTCACTCAAATACCGCACCATAAGTCACTCAAATACCAGTCAACCCAAACGATGATATCGNGTCATTGTCTTGCTCTAGTTCTTTGTTCTCATCTCTAACTCTCTTGTTGTCTTTTAAAACTTCATTCAATTTATTAATCTATAAGATCTTGACATCACAATTGCACCTAATGTATTATATGATCCGGTCTAAATACAAATCAGTCACTCAAATACCACACCATAAGTCACTCAAATACCAGTCAACCCAAACGATGATATCAAATACAAATGTAACGAAAAAAAACCCAACACAAAGCATACAAGACACGCCCTAAGACATTTTAGGGGTCTAAAGCCAAAAAAAAAATATTAATAATAAATTTATTTATTTATTTTTTAAAATTAAAAAAATTAATTAAGTTTTTATATTCAAATTTTTGTTATCATAACTGAACTTAATGGTAAGTGAGACAGAGGAGAGGATAATTGAAAAATTATGATGGTAATTTTGACTTGACTGTGACCACTGTGACAGGTGTGACCACTGTGATCAAAGATGAAGGTGTGTTACATCAATGTATTTCTTCGCAATGGAAGAAAATGGAACCATTACCGTTGAGACAGAGGATGTCAAAAATGAAACTTTGAAACCTTTTTCGCACACCAAACCAGCTACCCCAAAACCAGCCTTCCCAAAACCAGCCTCTTCCCAACCAACACTCTCCAAACCAGCCTCCTCAAACCAACACCCTCCAAACCAGCCTCCTCAAGTTCGAACCCTTCCTTGGAAATACTTAGAAAAGTTTTTCACCCTAAGTTCTTCTACTGATGGTGGAAGAGGGCTGGTTGCACTTGGTTATAAAATTCACAGAAATGGTCTCAATAAAGGGGAAGAAGGAGGTTCGTCTGTTGCGGAAGGATATCTCTTCTGGTAGCCCTTCTAGTAGCTCTTCTATTGATGGACTTCTTGTCCTAATAAAGGGGAACTAAGGGAAGGGAAAGGGAAAGACCGACGATGACGAGGTTAAGCAGAAGAACAAAAATATAGTGGTTGTGGGTAATAAACAGAACGGAAACAGGAAACCCAAAGCTGAGGTTGCTGACAAGAAACAAAATGGGAACAGGAAACCCGAAGTTGAGGTCACTGACACAAATCTGAATAGCNACTCAAATGCCACACCATAAGTCACTCAAATACCAGTCAACCCAAACAATGATATCAAATACAAATGTAATCGAAAAAAACCCAACACAAAGCATACAAGACACGCCCTAAAACATTTTAAAGGTCTAAAGCCAAAAAAAAATATTAATAATAAATTTATTTATTTATTTTTTAAAATTAAAAAAATTAATTAAGTTTTTATATTCAAATTTTTGTTATCATAACTGAACTTAATGGTAAGTGAGACAGAGGAGAGGATAATTGAAAAATTATGATGGTAATTTTGACTTGACTGTGACCACTGTGACAGGTGTGACCACTGTGATCAAAGATGAAGGTGTGTTACATCAATGTATTTCTTCGCAATGGAAGAAAATGGAACCATTACCGTTGAGACAGAGGATGTCAAAAATGAAACTTTGAAACCTTTTTCGCACACCAAACCAGCTACCCCAAAACCAGCCTTCCCAAAACCAGCCTCTTCCCAACCAACACTCTCCAAACCAGCCTCCTCAAACCAACACCCTCCAAACCAGCCTCCTCAAGTTCGAACCCTTCCTTGGAAATACTTAGAAAAGTTTTTCACCCTAAGTTCTTCTACTGATGGTGGAAGAGGGCTGGTTGCACTTGGTTATAAAATTCACAGAAATGGTCTCAATAAAGGGGAAGAAGGAGGTTCGTCTGTTGCGGAAGGATATCTCTTCTGGTAGCCCTTCTAGTAGCTCTTCTATTGATGGACTTCTTGTCCTAATAAAGGGGAACTAAGGGAAGGGAAAGGGAAAGACCGACGATGACGAGGTTAAGCAGAAGAATAAAAATATAGTGGTTGTGGGTAATAAACAGAACGGAAACAGGAAACCCAAAGCTGAGGTTGCTGACAAGAAACAAAATGGGAATAGGAAACCCGAAGTTGAGGTCACTGACACAAATCTGAATAGCAAAAAGTTTGATGACAGTCATGATGATGAGGTTCCAGGTGGAGATGAGAATGACGGTAGTAGTCTGTTCGTGGTGGCGTTAGAAATGGCCCGTGAATCTTGTTCGACAATGGACCCCTTAAATTCCGGTTTATATAGTCTAGAAGTTTTGAAGAAAAAAAGACCAGATTATGAAAACTGGGTTGGCTTGTATGTGAGTCGGATTGTGAAAACTGGGTTACTTTGTATGTGTGTAGGATTGTGTTGGTGGTTGTTTTTTTTGTGATTGTGGACATCACAACAAAGGATAAAAAGTTGAAATGCTGGGTGGGTTTGGGCGATTTTTGGTCGAGGTGAGGTGCTGAGGGGCTGTCAAAGGGTATTGCTTCAATGACTTGATTGTAGATTTATCAATTCTTTTGCATTTCCTGTTTCACAATTTGTGTATTTTGTGTATATTGATTTGATCTAGATATATGTTGGCCTACAAGGGTCGGATGCACTATGTTCAGTTAAAGTCTTTGCTTGATATTTTGAAGGTTTTTGTGAATTACTATTTTATTCTCATGGCCGTGGGCTGTACATATTTGTGAACAATGTTAAACATTTCAATTTATGTGATGACTGTATTTGGTTTCTTTCTCTATTTTTCCTTTGATTTATATTTGTGTGGGTGTTTTTTTTTCTAGAGGAATTGGTGTTGAAGTAGCAATTGGAGTTGGATGGCAGCTTGGATATAGGAGATTTTGTTTGAGAATATATGTTAACGTCTTAAATTTGAGTCAACTAATGGGTTTGGTTCACTTCCTAGTTTCGACACAAACAACTAGATTTTTATTGTTGTTTTTAAGTTTCGAACATTGAAATTTGGCTTATATCCCTTATTGTTTGGCATATATTCTTAAAATCAAGGGATCTCATTTTTGGTGGTATTTGAAATATAATAAATTCATTGTCACTTTACGTGGAGAATTCCGTTGTATTTATTGGTGAAAGCTTAATTATTTTATCTTTTAGTACAATTATATTTTGTGCAATCCTAGGAATGGACTAGGAAGGCTTTCTGGATATGGTCCATGGTGCTGACTTTCATGTGGCGTTACATTCTCTATTTGGAAATTCCACTAATAATGACAGAAGATTAAAATCGAAATAAGATAATAACGACAGATGATTAAAATAGAGAGAAGGAGAGAGGGGGGAGATATGAATTTGAAATGATAATTAATATGCATACAAAATGGACTTGACTATGATACTAATTTTTTATTTTTTGGTACTGTAGCTTTAAATTTTATATTATTTTAATGAGTGTTTTTATAATTTTTGTAGGTCATTTTATAATAAAAAAATTTATAACTTTTGTGGATATTTTTATCATTTTTTTTCATAAAAGTGTTAGGATTAATCACAAGTACTACAAAAGTGATAAAATACCTACAAAAATAATAAAAATACCAACAAAAATAAAAAATAATGGTACAATACTATTTTTTTCCAGTAGACTTATCCGTATGAAACAAGTGTATTTAATCTATATCTTTATTATATTCTCTACTTTTTCTTTTTCTTTGATTTTCTTCCTTACTAAGTATTAGTGCATTTCCATTAGATCGGAAGAAGAAGATTTGAGCCCAATGATGTCAGGGACAGCGACAACGACAGCGACAACACGTGAACAAGTGGGGAGTGGAGACGCGTGTCAGAATTTTGAGAATCATGGCATGATGGAGATGGATCGTTGACAAATGGAAGAAAGACGTCTCCACAATCACCATGTAATAGAGAGGAAACACGTGGTAATAAGCCATTGTTAGGGTGCAACGGCTTAACAGCTAAGCCTAGAACCTCAATAGGAACATTCTCCACCACAGGACCACACAAATCGAAACCACCACACCATAGGTCACTCAAATACCAGTCAACCCAAACAATAATATCAAATACAAATGTAACGGAAAAATACCCAACACAAAGCATACAAAGCACGCCCAAAGACATTTTGGGGGTCTAAAGCCAAAAAAAAATATTAATAATAAATTTATTTTTTGTAAAACAAAAAAATTAATTAAGTTTTTATATTCACACTTTTTTTATCATAACTGAACTTAATGGTAAATGAGACATGGGGAGAGAATAATTGAAAAATTAAGATGGTATTTTTAACTTGACAAGGGTGACCACTATGACCAGAGATGAAGGTGTGTCACATCAATGTATTTCTCCGCAATGGACGAAAATGGAACCAGTACAGTCGAGATAGGTGTCATCGAAATGAAACTTTGAAACCCGTTTCACCCACCAAACTAGCCTCCTCAAAACCAACCTCTTCCGAACCAACACCCTCCAAACCAGCCTCCTCAAGTTCGAACCCTTCCATGTGAATACTTAGAAAATTTTTCCACCCTAAGTTCTTCTATTGATGGTGGAAAAGGGTTGGTTGCACTCGGTCACAAAATTCACAGAAATGGCCTCAAGTCTTTGGAATATATGGTTTGTGGTACACATAATGCGTTAATTTCTGTCGTTTATCTCTGAAGGAAGAGGTTCGCTTGTTGCGGAAGGATATCTTTTCTTGTAGCTCTTCTGTTGGTGGACTTCCTGTCCTAATAAAGGGGAAAGAGGGAAAGAGGAAGTGATAGACCGATGATGACGAGGTTAAGCAGAAGAACGGGAATGAGGTGGTTGTGGGTAAGAAATAGAATGGGAACGGGAGACCCGAAACTGAGGTTGCTAAAAAGAAACAGAACGGGAATAGGAAACCCGAAGTTAAGGTTACTGACACAAATCTGAATAGCGGGAAGTTCGGTGACAGACATGATGATGAGGTTCCGGGTGGAGATGAGAATAGTGGTAGTAGTCTGTTCGTGGTGGCGTTAGAAATGGCTCATGGTTCTTGTTCGACAATGGACCCCTTAAATTCTGGTTTATATAGTCTAGAAGTTTTGAAAAAAAAAATTGTGAAAATTGGGTCATTTGTATGTGACCCAAATTGTGAAAACTGGATTGGTTTGTTTGTGTGCCAGATTGTGTTGGTGGTTGTTTTTTGTGTGATTGTGAAGGTCACAACGAAGGTGAAAAAGTTGATATGTTGGGTGGGTTTGGGCGATTGCTGGTGGAGGTGAGGTGTTGAGGGCTATGAAAAGGTATTGCTTCAATTACCTAGTTGTGGATTTATCAATTTTTTTGCATTTCCTGTTTCACAGTTTGTGTATTTTGTGTATATTGATTTGATTTAGATATATGTTGGCCTACAAGGGTCGGATGCACTATGTTTAGTTAAAGTCTTTGCTTGATATATTGAAGGTTATAGTGAATTACTATTTTATTCTTATTACCGTGGGCTGTACATATCTGTGAACAATGTTAAACATTTCAATTTATGTGATGACTGCATTTGGTTTATTTCTCTATTTTTCCTTTGATTTTATATATGTGTGTGTTTTTTCTAGGTAGGAGGAGGAATTGGTGTTGAAGTAGCAATTAGAGTAGGATGGCAGCTTGGATATGGGAGATTTTGCTTGAGAGTACATGTTAATGTTTTAAATTTGAGTCTACTAATGGATTTGGTTCACTTTCTAGTTTTTACACAAACAATTGGATTTTTATTGTTGTTTTTAAGTTTCTAACAGTGAAATTTGGCTTATATCCCTTATTGTTTGGCATATATTCTTAAAATCAAGGGATCTCATTTTTGGTGGTATTTGAAATATAATGAATTAACTGTCACTTTACGTGGGGAATTTCGTTGTATGGTGAAAGCTTAATTATTTTATCTTTTAGTACAATTATATTTTGTGCAATCCTAAGAACGGACTAGGAAGGCTTTTTGGATATGGTCCATGGAGCCGACTTTCATGTGGCGTTACATCCTCTATTTGGAAATTCCACTAATAACGACAGAAGATTAAAATCGAAATAAGATAATAACGACAGATGATTAAAATAGAGAGAGGGAGAGAGGGAGAGAGGGAGGGAGATATGAATTTGAAATGATAATTAATATGCATACAAAATGGACTTGACTATGGTACTGATTTTTTATTTTTTGGTATTGTAGTTTTAAATTTTATATTATTTTAATGAGTATTTTTATAATTTTTGTAGGTCCTTTAGTAATAAAAAATTTATAACTTTTGTGGATATTTTTATCATTTATGTCATAAAAATGTTAGGATTAATTGCAAGTACTACAAAAGTGATAAAATACCTACAAAAATAATAAAAATACCAACAAAAATAATAAATAATGGTATGATACTATTTTTTTCCTAGTAGGCTTATCCGTATGAAACAAGTGTATTTAATTTGTATCTTTATTATATTCTCTACTTTTTCTTCTTTTTTGATTTTCTTCCTTACTAAGCATTTGTGCATTTCCATTAGACCGGAAGAAGAAGATTTGAGCCCAATGATGACGGGGACAGCGACAGCGACAACGATCTTGTGAGCAAGTGGGGAATGGAGACGCATGACAGAATTTTGAGAATCATAGCATGATGGAGATGGATCGCTGAGAAAGGGAAGAAAATGTGTCTCCATAATCACCATGCAATGGAGAGGAAACACGTGGTAGCTAGCCTTTGTTGGGGGTGCAATGGCTTAACAGCCTGGAACCTCAATACGAATATTCCCCTCTGCAGGACTATACTAACCAAAACCATCACACCATAAGCCACTCAAATACCAGTCAACCCAAACTATAATATCAAATACAAATGTAACGGAAAAATACACAACACAAAGCATACAAGGCACACCCTAAGACATTTTGGGGTCTAAAGCAAAAAAAAAAAAATTAATAATAAATTTATTTTTTTTAATTTAAAAAAATTAATTAGGTTTTTATATCCAAATTTTTGTTATCATAATTGAACTTAATGGTAAACGAGATAGGGAGAGAGAATAATTGAAAAATTACGATGGTATTTTTGACTTGACTTGACTGTCCCAAGTGTGACCACTGTGACCAGAGATGAAGGTGTGTCACATCAATGTATTTCTCCGCAATGGACGGAAATAGAACCATTACAGTTGAGACAAGTGTCGTCGAAATGAAACTGTGAAACCCGTTTTACCCACCAAACTAGCCTCCTCAAAACTAGCCTCTTTCAAACCAGCACCCTCCAAACTAGCCTCCTCAACCTTTCCCTATGAATACTTAAAAAAGTTTTCCACCCTAAGTTCTTCTATTGATGGTGGAAGAGGGCTAGTTGCACTCGGTCACAAAATTCACAGAAATGGCCTCAAGTCCTTGGAATATATGGTTGGTGGTACACACAATGTGTTAATGGCCTCAAGTCGCAGAAGGATGTCTCTTCTGGTAGCTCTTCTAATAGCTCTTCTGTTGGTGGACTTCTTGTCCTAATAAAGGAGAAAGAGGGTAAGGGGAAGGGGAAGAGGAAGGGAAAGACCAACGATGACGAGGTTAAGCAGAAGAACGAGAATGAGGTGGTTGTGGGTATGAAACAGAACGAGAATGGGAAACCTGAAGCTGAGGTTGTTGATAAGAAACAGAACGGGAACGAGAAACTTGAAGCTGAGGTTGCTGACACAAATTTAAATAGCGGGAAGTTCGGTGACATACATGATGATGAGGTTGGGTGGAGATGAGAATGACGGTAGCATTCTGTTCGTGGTGGCGTTAGAAATGGCCCGTGAATCTTGTTTGACAATGGACCCCTTAAATTCTAGTTTATATAGTCTAAATTTTTTTTTAAAAAAATCAGATTTTGAAAACTAGCTTTGTATGTGAGCCGGATTGTGAAAACTTGGTTGGTTTGTATGTGTGTCGGATTGTGTTGGTAGTTGTTTTTTGTGTGATTGTGGAGGTGACAACAAAGGTGAAAAAGTTGATGCGCTGGGTGGATTTGGGTGATTGCTAGTGGAGGTGAGGTGTTGAGGGGCTGTCAAAGGGTATTGCTTCAATGGCCTGGTTGTGGATTTATCAATTCTTTTGCATCTTCCGTTTCACAGTTTGTGTATATTGATTTGATCTAGATATATGTTGGCCTACAAGGGTCGGATGCACCATGTTCAATTAAAGTCTTTGCTTGATATATTGAAGGTTCTTCTGAATTACTATTTTATTCTCATGACCATGGGCTGTACATATCTGTGAACCATGTTAAACATTTCAATTGATGTGATGACTGCATTTGAGTTCTTTCTGGATATGGTCCATGGTGCCGAATTCNGGTTGTACATATCTGTGAACCATGTTAAACATTTCAATTGATGTGACGACTGCATTTGATTTCTTTCTGGATATGGTCCATGGTGTCGACTTTCATGTGGCGCTACATTCTCTATTTGGAGATTCCACTAATAATGACAGAAGATTAAAATCAAAATAAGATAATAACGGCAGATGATTAAAGTAGAGAAAGGGGGAGATATGATTGAAATGATAATTAATATGCATATAAAATGGACTTGACTATGGTACTAATTTTTTATTTTTTTGGAACTGTAGTTTTAAATTTTATATTATTTTAATGAGTGTTTTTATAATTTTTGTAGGTCCTTTTGTAATAAAAAAATTTATAACTTTTGTGGATATTTTTTTCATTTTTGTCATAAAAATGTTACGATTAATTGCAAGTACTACAAAAGTGATAAAATACCTACAAAAATAATAAAAATACCACCAAAAATAATAAATAATGGTACGATACTACTTTTTTTCCTAGTAGGCTTATTTGTATGAAACAAGTGTATTTAATATGTATATTTATTATATTCTCCACTTTTTCTTCTTCTTTGATTTTCTTCTCAAGTATTAGTGCATTTCCAGTGGAGACGCGTGGCAGAATTTTGAGAATCATGGCATGATGGAGATGAATTGCTGACAGAGGAAAAAAAGACGTCTCCACAGTCACCATGCAATGGAGAGGAAACACGTGATAGCCAACCATTGCTGGGTGCAACGGCTTAACAGCTATGCCTAGAACCTCAATATGAATATTCTCCACCACAGTACCATACTAATCGAAACCATCACGCCATAAGTCACTCAAATACCAGTAAACCTAAATGATATTATCAAATACAAATGCAACGAAAAAATATTCAACACAAAGAATATTAGGCACACCCTAAGACATTTTGGGGGTCTAAAGCAAAAAAAAAATATTAATAATAACAAAATTAATTAAGTTTTTATATCCAAACTTTTTGTTATCATAACTGAACTTATTGGTAAATGAGATAGGGAGAGAGAATAATTGAAAAATTACGATGGTAATTTTGACTTGACTTGACTGTGACCATTGTGATAGAGATGACGGTGTGTCACATTAGTGTATTTCATCGAAATGGACGGAAATGGAACCATAACCGTTGACACAGGGGTCGTCAAAATGAAACTTTGAAACCCGTTTCACCCATCAAACCAGCCACCTCAAAAACCAGCCTCCCCAAAACAAGCCTCCTCCAAGTCACCCCCTCTAATCCAGCCTCCTCAAACTAGCACCCTGCAAAGCAGCCTTCAAACCCTTCCCTTGGAATACTTAGAAAAGTTTTTCACCCTACGTTCTTCTATTGATGGTGGTAGATATGATTGGTGGTACACACAAAGCGTTAATTTCTACCATTTTATCTCTCAAAAAGGAGGTTCGCCTATTGTAGAAGGATATCTCTTCTGGTAGCTCTTCTGTTGGTGTCCTGTCCTAATAAAGGGGAAGGGGAAGACCGACCATGACGAGGTTAAGCAGAAGAATGGGAATGAGGTGGTTGTAGGTAAGAAATAGAATGGGAATGGGAAACCCGAAGCTGAGGTTGCTGACAAGAAATAGAACGAGAAGCCCGAAGCTGAGGTTGTTGACACAAATCTGAATAGCGGGAAGTTCGGTGAAGGACATGATGATGAGGTTCCAGATGGAGTTGAGAATAGTGGTAGCAGTCTGTTTGTGGTGGCGTTAGAAATGGCCCGCGGATCTTGTTCAGAAATGGACCCATTAAATTCTGATTTATATAGTCTAGAAGTTTTGAAAAAAAAAAAACAAATTGGGTTGGTTTGTATGTGTGTCGGATTGTGTTGGTGGTTTTTTTTTTGTGTGATTGTGGAGGTCACAACGAAGGTGAAAAAATTGATATGTTGGGTGGGTTTGGGCGATTGCTAGTGGAGGTGAGGTGTTGAGAGACTATCAAAGGGTATTGCTTCAATGACCCGANTTAAGCCCAATCCACTCCAGTTAACATTGTTCACAGATCTCTCATGAATTCCACTTCCTATAACAACTATAGAAGTATAAACTAGAAGAAGGTTAAATCAATAGACATTAACNCAAAGGGTATTGCTTCAATGACCCGGTTGTGGATTTATCAATCTTTTGCATTTCCTGTTTCACAGTTAAAATAGAGAGAGGGAGATATGAATTTGAAATGATAATTAATATGCATATAAAATAGACTTGACTACGGTACTGAATTTTTGTTTTTTGGTACTATAGCTTTAAATTTTATATTATTTTAATGAGTTTTTTTTGTAATTTTTGTAGATCCTTTTGTGATAAAAAAANCGGGCCTCATGGGATCTATGCCGGCCGTCAGAGTCCAAATCAAAGGAAGGTCGAAGGACAATTCGATCAAGTCAAATATGTGTCAAATTTACAAAATATCAAGCATAAGAAGCAAATGATTGGACAAATTAAATTACCTTCAAACTCCTCCAAAATCTTTGGGATTGATTTAAATCCTTTCCAACAACATATTTCTTCCTTGATCGACCAGAAGCGATCTCAGTTTTGCTATAACTATAGTCAATGAAATAAACTAAAGAGAAGTAGAAGATATAACGAAGGCCAATTGTAAAAACAGCTTGTTGTTGCACTGCTTTTAAAAAACAAAAAAAACAANTGAACTCAATGATGACGGGGACAGCGAAAGCGACGACACGTGAATAAGTGGGGAATGGAGACGCGAGACAAAATTTCGAGACAAAATTTTGAGAATCATGGTATGATGGAGACGTATCGCTAACAAAGGGAAGAAAGACGTCTCAACAATCACCATGCAATGGGGAGGAAACACGTGGTAGCCAACCATTGCCGAGGTGAAACGACTTAACAGTTGTGTCTGGAACCTCAATATAAATATTCTCCACCACATGACCATTCTAACTGAAACCACCACACCATAAGTCACTCAAATGCCAGAAAATCCAAACAATAATATCAAATACAAATGTAACGGAAAAAGACCCAACACAAAGCATACAAGGCACGCCCTAAGACATTTTGGGATCTAAATNTCTAATTTTAATATAATCTATTTATTAAATTGAGACCCATATAGTCAAGCGTGCCTATTACCATTTGGCCTTCGATCCTCAGTTTGAAATTTCCACAAATGGCGACATAAGATTAAATTTGAAGCATAAAAAAAGACAAAAAATTGAATTTAAGATGACTCACATACGAGACAAATATACCTATTATGAAAAGGTAGACATTCGATTAATTATAATATGACCTAAAAAAATTATATTGTCAACAAACCCAAAAACTTATCTCTTAACTAACGAAACTTATAAAAACTCAACATACGGTAACAAAAACTTATACCACTTACAATATTTTATTCATTATATAAGTCAACTAGTCATAACTCGTACCTGAAAATATGATAAAATATAAAATTTGAGCGTTCAAAAAATTGATCCCATTATACTAAATAACAATTTTTTATTTTTCTATTTATTTGATTACATCATTTAAAATTAACTTTTACCTATTATTTTTTAAAAAATATCATCAAAATTTTGTCAAAATACATAACTCAATAAATTTTTTTTAACATGAGTACACTATTTTATATAAACAATGTATGAAAAAACCAACTGATGGGTCAAGCCCAAATGACCCAATCCATGGGAAAAAGTCCAAGCTTATAGAAGACCAAGCCCTATGAGGTCCAAGACGGTCAAGTCCATCAAGGAGCTACGGGAGTATCCAAGAGTTATATCCTTGTCCGTTGAGGAAGAGGATAGGTCGCCAAGAAGAGGAGAGGTCATCAACTATTAAGTTGTCTCCAGTCCGTTATAATCGTCAAGCTACTCAATTACTAAGCAGACTTCTATAAATTATAAGCTCCCCCAACACTTGGGGGATCTCAAAAAAATCAAGTTCATCTCTTCTCTCTTGTAATTCTCTGTTCTCCTAACGCATCGGAGCTAATAAACTTCTCGACGAACTTAGCCATTGAAAGTGGACGTAGGTCTTGTTGACCAAACCACTATAAACCTTGTTTCCTTTCTCCATCTACTTATTTTATCACATTTTATTCTATTTACCTGATTAGTGGTGTGTAAACCAATTTGTGCATCATCACCAATAAAAATAATAAATCATAGGACGATACCATTTTTTCCCAATAGGCTTATCCGTATGAAACAAGTGTATTTAATCTATATCTCTATTATATTCTCTACTTTTTCTTCTTCTTCTTCTTCAATTTTCTTCCTTCCTAAGTATTAGTGCATTTCCATTAATGCTTTTTTACTTTAGAGAGAGCCACAGGATGGAAGAGCTCTAATCGGTTTGAAGGAAGAAGATTTGAACCCAACATTAATGCTAGATTGATCAAATTTTTTGACCAAATATTCATCTCAAATGACATGACAGTTGACTTGAACTTATTTATTTGGTGTCATGTCATTTGGGCTCAAATAAAGACTTCAAATAATATGTTGTCATGTTATTTGAGATGGATATTTGAGCAATAAATTTGATCAGTGTAGCATTACTCTTGAACCCAATGATGATGGGGACAACGACGGCGTGTGAACAAGTGGGTAGTAGAGACACATAGCAAAATATTGAGAATCATGGCATGATGAAGGTGAACACGTATCGCTGACAGAGGGAAGAAAGACGTCTCCACAATCACCATGCAATGAAGAAGAAACACTTGATAGCCGGCCATTGCTGGGGTGCAACGGCTTAACAGCTAAGCTTGGAACCTCAGTACGAATATTTCCCACCATAAGACCATACTACTAACCAAAATCACCACATCATAAGTCACTCAAATACCAATTAACCCAAACAATAATATCAAAGGAAAATTTCATCCCCACCCTTTATAGATAGACTTAACTTCAATGACACCTTTTTCGATTATAAAATTTCACTGCACTGCCTTAGAGTTCATTTATTTATTTCAACTACCTGAAATCCATATGAAAACTAAATCAAATTAGACTTACGTAGCAGCAAGCAAGATACAACATTACCCCTGACAGACCAGCTAGTTTGATTGCGCAGCAGAAAGCAAATCAGGATATCCTTTGGCAAATGCAAGCTTGATTGCAGTTTGGAAATTTTGAGCATGACCCCTAAAAGCCAATTGTTTTCGACCGCTTGACCAGAATTCAAGGGCAGAGAAACCCAATGAACAAGGTTGCACTAAAGGGAGAGATGTTTTTGGTAGCCATTTTGAAGAGGCTTGAAATACACGACATTGACACCCATATAACCACTGTCACCTTCATTCAAATGCCAATCAAACATATAATTCACAAAGTCATCAAAATAATGATTCAAGAGATAGCTATCACACATCACTCCCACCCACTTATACTTTGTCGAGAGAGAGAGAGAGGGTTCAGCCTCCACTCAGCCCCACACCCTTGGTCAATCTGTCCCAAACTCACTTGACATCAACCACTCCCCCAACGTGCACGCACACGCACCTTTGACTACCACCTTTTGCACCCCCACCCCCACCCCCACAATCCTTACATCAACACCCATCACAAAAAATGTTTGCTGGAGAGAGAGAGAGAGAGATGAGGGGGTGATGTGAGAAGAGTGTAGGGTGAGAATGTGGAGGGACAGACAGTGGCGAAGGAGGTGGGAATTGGTAGCGAGGGGTGGGCTAGGGTAGGGTTCTCTCTGTATATATATACACATATTAACAGACTTAATATATAAAAAAAATATAAAGTTCAAGGGTAAAGTGGTAAAAGAAACATTTCCGTCACGGTTGTTACTCAACGAAGATTGATAAGGGGTGTCAGTGAAATTTCAAAATCGAGAAGGAGAGTAATTGAAATTAAGCCTATCTGTAAGGGGGTGTAGATGAAATTTTTCCTAATATCAAATACTAATTTAACGGAAAAAGATCCAACACAAAGCATACAAGGACGCCCTAAGACATTTTAGTGGTCTAAAGCAAAAAAAAAATATTAATAATAAATTTATTTAATTTTTTTTTAAATTAAAAAATTAATTAAGTTTTTACATTCAATTTTTTGTTATCATAACTGAACTTAATGGTAAGTGAGACAGGGAGAGAGAATAATTGAAAAATTACGATCGTAATTTCAAATTTGGTTTTTTTAGGGGGTTAAGAGTTAATTTTTAGTAGCTTTTTAGGTTTATTGTTTACTTGTTTTCCTTTTCTTTTCAAAAAATTAAATTTTAAGGCCTTTACTTTCATGGACTGAATTATTAAGCCCAATCCACTCTAATTAACATTGTTCACAGATATCTCTCTCGAATTTCACTCCTTATAATAGCTATTGAAGTATAAACGGGAAGAAGTCTAAATCAATGGACATTAATGAACCATCTTTAATGGACGTTGCAGATGACAGGATCAATTCGACTCTAAGGTTCGACATTAATTCTAAAAAAAATAAATATTAGAATATTAAAATATATCCATTTAAAATTTATTTGGGTAGATTATAATAGACACCTTCTGAAAAATAACCTAACTACAATAACATTCTTTGTAGTTTATCAAATCTTATTGTCATCTCTTATAATTTAAATGTTCATTTCACATACTATCCCCGTCTCAAGGGACAAAATGGCACATCCAAAAAATGATAATGTCAACAAATATTCTTGCATAAATGACAATTTTACTTTTTAACTATATATAATCCTTGTAGTTAAATACCTTTATTCTTTTTTCAAGCAAAGCTAATCTTGAAACCAAACAACCCACATGTATTTTAATCTCATCTTCTACATATTAGACACACTAATTATCTTTCTCTCTCTCTCTCTCTCACTCACATTCATCCAATTTGTAAGCTTGGAAAAAATTTTTCCTTCACCATTACTTGTCAAAATCCAAACTTCACCAATGTTAATTTGGTATTGAAATGACAACGTTAAAATATTAAGAGAGTATTAAATTGAGAAAATTAATCTTAATTCCAACGACCCAACGATCCTCCACGATCAACTCCTAGCCATAGCAACCAAAACTTCAAAATTTGTGTAACTCTCTCTCTCTCCTAACCATGATTTCCCACCACCCAACAAGTCTACCACTGAGCCCATCCCCACCATAGAAATAGAGATAGAGTTATACCCCCGCATCCACCACCACAACTACAACCACCACCACAATAAAAATAGAAATTCATTCTTCGTCAGAGCCTGTCAATCAACAATATCAAATAAGAAGTCGGAGATATAGAGTTTTTGTTGTATAAAAAAATAAATTATGAAATCTCTAACACAATTGGGATTTAATTAGGAGTCATTTACTAAATGAAATCAAAGTTCTATGTTCGATTTTGAATTAGAGAGACTTTAAAAATGATGAATCACGTTGATTATAACTCCTAGCCTTCCATGCTAACGATGTGGGTTTGATTCTGGCTAACCTCTTTTTAAAAGTACCCATATATATTTTAAAAAAAGAATAGTATTTGAAACCGTCCCATCACTACCTATATCGCCACCGCCACCGCCACCGCCACCGCCATCGCCACCACCGTTGTCGCCGCCACCACCACCATCACCACCGCTGTCACTACCACCATTGTCGTTGCCCCTCGCCACCACCATCGCCACCATGGTCATTGCCACCTTCCACAACCATCACCGTCTTCTACTACCACCTCTCATTTTCACTACAAATCGATGCTTAAATTCATTATCTTTTCTCTATATTTGTGATTTAATTTTAGATATAAATACAAATATATTTATTGTTTACCATTTTTTATTACTGTGTGACTTCAGACACAAGCATTAAACTAGTTTTTTATATACNACACACACACACACACAAACACATTCATCTAATTTGTAAGCTTGGAAAAATTTTAGCCTTCACCAATGTTAATTTGGTATTGAAATGACAAAGTTAAAATATTAAAAGAGTATTAACTCGATAAATTAATCTTAATTCCAGCGACCCAACAATCCTCCACGGTCAACTCCTAGCCATAGCAACCAAAACTCCAAAATTTGTGTAACTCTCTCTCTCTCCCTCCCTCCCTCCTAACCAGGATTTCCCACCACCCAACAAGTCGACCACCGAGCCCATCCCCACCATAGAAACACAGATAAAGTTATACCCCCCCGCATCCACCACCACAACTACAACCACCACCACCATAATAAAAAAGGAAATCCATTCCTCGTTAGAGTCTGTCAATCAACAATATCAAATAAGAAGTCGGAGATATAGATTTTTTGTTGAATGAAAAAATAAAATATAAAATCCCTAACACAATTGGGATTTAATTGGGAGCCATTTACAAAATGAAACCAAAGTTTTATGTTCGATTTTGAATTAGAGAGACTTTAAAAATAATGAATCACGTTGATTATAGCTCTTAGCCTTCCATGCTAACGATGTGGGTTTGATTCCTTCTAACCTCTTTATATCCTCTGTATTATATATACCTTATTTTTTTATATACTATAATTTATAGAAAATACTATAATGAAATTATAATAATCTTTTTATATGCTAATTAATTCTATTCTTCTAATGCGAGAGAGGGAGGGAGGGAGGGACGGAGCCAGATCAGTGATGTAGCCATTTGAGGACTAGTTGTTTTCTTAACATTATCTAGATGTATTATAAATGTTTGTTAAGCAAATTCAATTATGCACATTCTATGATTTTTCATCTCATATGAATTAATACCTAAATGACTAGTGATTTTTGGACACGTTTCAAACACGACCAATCTCCGGATAAATTTTGGACATATTGGGATCATTTTATAACTTAAAAAAATTACAAGATTAATTTGTTATTATATAAAAAATACTTTAATTAGAGATTCAAATAGTCCACAATAACACTATGAATGGTTTTTGATCCTTTGTATTGAATGAATTTTTAAGTATCAAAAATGATTTTAGTGAATATAAATGTATACTGTTATTTAAACGATTGAAAAGAAAAAAGAAAAAAATAAACCTTGTTTAAGTATCCACTCAAGAAAGAATTTTCAACTCTGGCCCTGAGCAAGGTGGAGGTCTTAAGAAAACTTGGGAGATGTAATTTTAATTATAGGCAAATAACCGGGGGAAAGATGGAGATAGTGTGTAGTTGGGGCCAGTTAGGCAAACTTGAGGAGTAATTATAGGGGTAGTTATCAAACGTGAGATTGATTGATAAATGAAGATCGAATAATAAACCAATAGGAGTGCACGAAGAATTTTACGTAATTAAAACTAAATAGAATTTTCTTCTATTTTATTACCAATCAAAGCGGTGGCGTTTCTACCACCAACCACCTAGAAGTTTCTTTTTCCTCTCTTTTGTTCCCCCTTCTTTGCGTGATATATATACAGCCTGCCCCTCTCCGACTTTGTGAGTTCATTTCGTCTGGATTTGTTGTTTTGCTGCGACAATTTGTGAGATATCATGGGGCATGGTGGTTATTATCAACGTTAGTAAACCCTAACCCTAACCCTAGCCTTTCTCACTTTTTTTACTCCTTTCTTGGTTTGTTTTCTCTGATTTCTATGTTTTCTTTTATTTTATGTCTCTTAAAAAGTGAAATATAGGGGAACTCCAGGCAAAATCTCAGCGATGGAAGAATGGGCTATAATCTCGACTTATCTTGATTTTGAAGGATTAAACATGATGTTACTGTGGTGTATTCTCTCCTATAGCTATATTGGGGGTGTCAGTACAATTTTGCTTAGTAGATAATTTTCTTCTTATATATATATGCGACTAATGTACATAATGCATTAGAAAAATTTTGAAAGAAGTTCTTGCTAAGTCAAAGGTAGAGGACTTGTGGGAAAAGAAACTTGGGGGTGGAATGATGACCTAGATGTAGGTAAAACAAAGAAATAATTCTTTTAAGAGAGGCAAAATGATAAAAATAACAAAAACTTTCAAAGGTATAAATTAACTAACAAAGAGGTTAAAAACATAATTAAAGATGCCAAGTTAAAAGCTTATGGCGAATTGTATAAAAAATTATATAGTAGAGAGAGAGAGAAAAGACATCTACAAACTAACTAAAACTAGAGAAATAAAACTACAAGTTAAGTGCATCAAGGGCACGGATTCAAAGATTTTACTTAAGGGTGAGGAAATAAATGATTGGTGGAAATACTTTTTTGAGAAACTATTCAATGAAAATCACTTAGAAAATTTAGGAGAGATAGAAAATGGTAAAATTCATGAAACTAGGCACACGTTCTTTTGTACAATGAAGAATTTGGAGGTAGAAATTACATTGAAGAAAATATGATTAGGCAAAACTTT